TCAACAAAGGGCATGAAATTAGTGCTCTCCACAGCCCCGCCTCCTGTCCTACAGAGTGTCACTCTCTCGTTCTTTTGTCCTCAGACCTGCCAGAGAAAGAATCAACTGACAAATGCCCCACTGCACCTTCATCTCGGTGCATTTGCGTGCTGTTTTCTTTCCCTATAGTATCCCAATCACATTTTCTACATTCGACATGCCTTCACTGCTCAGCTTAGACGGTGAACGCTAAACATCAAGACCTTGGTACATTTCAGTGAGGTACGAATTACTCAAAAGTTCTGAAGATGTTTTGATGGATTTCCTGCGGATTTTGAAAATGTTTTTCATCACAAAACTAATCCTGGCTTTAGCGAACCAGACACTGGAGGCTGGTGTATTTTTGTATTTGTGTGTGTAAAACAAGATTTAGGGGTGTAAATGTGGTTATCTCTTCTTTGAGGCAGCAGAAGTGTTCAGCTGGCCTGTAACCTCATGCACAGTGACAGTGTGGAACATGTGTCCTCTATGCTTTCAATGTTTTCCACTATAGCCTTACAGGTCTTCTAAACATGTCAGCCATGTCCGAGGAAAAGACAAATTCTATACACTCTGCTGTGTGAGATAGTGAGAGAGAGCTCTGAGCTGTGCATATGTGTGTGTTTGCCAAGCTAACAATCAGCAGTGCCTCATAAAAGGATTAGTGACCTCCACAAAGAGAACAGGGCTCTTCAAAGCTTCTGCAGGGCTACAATGGCGCTGACATTTGTCCTGCTCGGTGCAGGGATGGGGTGTGGTGGGACATCGTCGCCACAGAGCACACTGACAGAGAGGGGTGGACAGGGGCACGGCACAGGGCTGGTCCTCTCTTTCACAGCCTGACTCTGGCCCCTTCGGCAGCCCACTCCGGTCTTCATGTCCTCCTCCGGCCCTGTCCATTCATGCAGAAGGCTGCTGATGACTCCATTGGCTGGTTTTCTCTAAAAGGGTTAGCCCTGTCTGTCCTCCCTCTCGGCATCAATGGCGAGTCAGAAAGATAGATTAGATTTGCCTTTGATTCCACTGTGTTTCATCGCTTTCACCCATCCAAATTGGTATTTAACAAAGCATTCCTCACAGTGAGTGGTACAGCTATGTAGCTCTGTCATTGATGTAGAGGGAGAATGGTACTTGGAGATATAATGGGTTAGTGGTGGCTAATAGACTGAATTGCCATTTATTTGGAGAGTGTCAATGGTGCTGAATTTCCCACAGATGCTGCAGTTCTGCGGTACTGAAAAGGACAGGTTATGTATGTATTTATGCACATTGATGATATTATCCCACTCGACCTACTCAATCCCCCCAATATATACACAATGTATTATCTGTGTGTGAATAATTAAATATATATGCTCAAGTCCGTTTGTAAAACTTTTATTATTTGCAGTGGCACCAATTTTTTGGAGCAAGGTGCAAATTAAACTGCTGAAAACTTCAAGAACGAATTGCTCATAACTGTTGTTAAATGTAATGAAAATAATTGCTTAAATCAATGGTTATAAATTGCCATTTCTTGCTTTATTCTCGTTTATTTATTTATCTATTTATTACATTTAATTAAAATGTTAACAATTTATGTTTTTAATGCTATGTGGATAGGCATTATTATTATTATTATTGCAGCCATGTAAGTCGAATTTAATCTGATGTTTCTAGCTCGGTAGCAGTTGCTGCTAACCCTCTTGTGTATCAGCGGAAAATGGGCTCCCGTTTTTAACATTGCTGGCAGCGTTGGAATAAAAAGAGGAGTCACTGTTGATTATTGCTCATTAGCCACAAGGACATCCACTTAACTCTGAATAAATGAGTGACACTAACAGCCACAGTCGGAATGTCCTCCGCGTAGCTCTGAGCAAAATGTTCATTAATGCTCTCCATTTGCTAAATTGAGAAAGAAAGCGGTTGTACACGTATGGCGACATCGGTATCGGTGATTACTTTGTTTCTGGCGAGGCATTTTAATCCTTAATTTCATGCGATGATCAGAGACGCCGTGAAGCCCAGTGTCATCCTTTCAGGAGCATTTCAAATGGATTTTAATGATCAAGAGTGGCTCAGGTCCCTCAGCGCCTAATATGCGGAGAATGCACACTAAACAAGCATCAATATTTATGACAGCCCTGAACGGGCTCGTCACTGGAAAAGGCGCGTGATTTCTGCTGAAAATGTGCGTGATAAAGTCTCTATCGTCGACCTAACGCTGATTCTATATTTTGCTAGTGAAAGACAGTGTATTGGCAACATAAAAGTAGTTTGGAAGCGCTGTAACACCATCAACAAATACAGGGATGAACTTGCTATCATACATGACCACCATCCTCCTGGGGTGAATAAGTCTGTGCAGGATATGTGTGTGTGTGTGTGTGTGTGTGTGTCCACACACACGGTGGACACGGTGTAGGCCTGTTTGACACAACTGAAAAGTTGTGAAAAACACGTGAGAGTTGTTATGAAATTAATCTATGTATTTATTTATTCCTTTTCGTATTGGAATGCTTAAAATTTGGTGGATAATGGCGAATAGCGTAACATTTATTTTGAAGAAGCATCTGACTGACTACCGTGACAAATTAGTTCACAAAATTTAAAATATGGATGTTCTGTTGGGAGTAAACAGTACTCTACCTATTTTCTCTAATTTATTTGGGTAGGTATAGTAGGCCTATATTTCTAAACTCTTGTAATTAGAAGAATATAAATGTGTGGATAATATCTCAAAGTTAATGACACATAGGGGATAAAAACAAAATGAGTTACAGGAGTTTGAACAAAATGTGTTAAGCGTGTTTAAAAAATTCTCTGGTCTCCCCTACGCCTTAGAGGGGAAAGCTTGGTTAGAAATAAGGCCCACATCTAATGTATAATTTAATGATAGCCTAATATTGTAACGATTTTAGATGTAGTTTTTGCTTCATAGTAATCCACGTGTAGCCTATACGTCCTCGGTCTGTTGAGGTGAGTGTGATTTGACCAAGTACAACATGTTCCTGGATCAACATCCTTGTTGATCCTGGAACATCATTCCAATCAACCAATCAGAATTGAGGGATAACTTTTCAGGAAATGTCAGTTTTAGGCTTACAATCAGGATTAGGTGCTTCTACACCCTTGTTAATCAGCTATCATTTCCCTCTGATTTTAGGAATAAATTATGGGTAAGGTTAGGTTTAGGGGTAGGGATTGGGTTAAGTCTGTATTTTTGGACAGAAATGTTGATCCAGGATCAACAAAAGATGTTGATCCAGGAACACGTCTTACTTGGCAAAATCACGGCGACCGTCTGTTGAAGTGCAAAATGCACGCAAGTATCTGCAAGCCTGTTTGCCACTGGCCTCGCGCTCTCCCTCTTGACCTGCACGGTGCGCGTGAGAGGGTCAGCACTGATTGGAGAATGTTGGTCACTTTCTGCGCTCTAGCTGGTGGCGCTCTTCCGAGTGAGAGCCAGAACGATGATTGCATCAATCAGTGTCACCAACGTCACACGGCGTTTTATGAATATTCATATCCAGCTCTTAGTTTGATGGAACGGAATTTCGGAGAGATGGGCTAATTGAATAGGCTTATATATATATTAAAAAAGCACGAAGAGCGGTCACGATGAATACTTTTTTATTAACCCGGCGGAGCTTTTTTTTCTCGCTGTGTCTCCAGGTTATTATGGACTGGAGCGCTTTGTTGTTCTAAGAGGGGCAGTGGCATAATTAATTAGGCTACTATTTGCTGTATACAGACTGGCATACCAGTTGACCAGTTGTGCTCCGTGTCAGTAAAGCATTGGCAACTGGTGACAGGCTACACTTTGCGATAATTGTATTTATTTTAATCATTCTTAAACATTTTTAAAATCTTTTTTTTTTGTCTTAAAGTTGTGTGTGACTGTTGAACACGAACTGTACATTTTAAATATTATTTTAATGCAGGTAGTTTGCCATTCAAGAGGGTTTTATATTTTAATTTTGATTCTTGAAAATGTTGTATTCTGTTTCGATTATTAATGTTTTTTTTTCTGTCTTAGAGACTCGGAAATTAATTTGACATTTAAACCTATGCTGATAATTAGTTTTTTTCATTATTTACTATTTATCTCGCTGTGCGGAATACGGTCTTCAGTTTCGATGATGTAATTTTGTATCAACTGTGTCAAAATATTCCACCAGGCATTTTTCTCATTGGGAGATCGCTAGCCTTACATTGCTTAACACTCTGCTTATAAGCTCCCAGCAAAATCTCACAAAAAGAACGAATGATCCCAAAAATGCCCATGGTCAACTTTCTCGAATAAATGACATAAATGAAAGAGTATGATCAAAATGGCTCAGTCCATGTAAAGGCCGCTCTGTGTGGACTGTAGAGGGAGCTCCAACTCTACATTTCTCCAAACTTTGGAAACCCTGAAACAAAGCCGCTGCCATGCAAATCATCTTTAAGAGGGAAAACACACATAAATAAATAATTTCGCACAGTTTCGAAGGCATATGGCAAGCAGCACAACATCAATGTCAGACTAGAATTCATTACATTTTTAAAAAGCAGAATCTCGAAAATTATAAATAGTCGCGATTACACAGAGGAAAGCATTTAACTTGTTTGTGTGTGACTTTTCCTCTTCAAAGAATAAAATATTCAATTCTCATTACAGTGAAATTGAGTTGTATGCTATTTCAACCCAATATAAATGAAATAATTATTCATTTCATATTGGCTGTTCCGCCTCGGTGGGGATAATCCCCATCCATTAATATCCAAATGCGCGATTCAAGAAGGAGCTAATTACAGTTAAGTCCCTGAAATAGGAAAATACTTAAAATCCTCAGTTTCAAACCACATAACCTCGAGTTAACGTTTCCCATGCCTTTCAAAACACACACGGTAACCATTTCCGCACAGAAAAGCATGACATTTCTAATATCATTTACAATATTAGCACTCCACTCCATTTTTTTAGTCGTTTTAAAAAAAGGAAAAGTGACGGTAAAGTTGCAGCGGTTCATTTATTAGCCAAAATATAGACTTTCTTGTACAATTTCGGATCACAAGTATATACATTTTCTTTACGTTATATACAAAACATTTCAACATCAAATCCTCACAGAGCTTACAAAAGAAAATGGAACTCACAGACTACTTGGCCTGACAGCATTAACATCAGCCATTGTACACAGGACATGCTTACAATGTAAGTATACAGAAGTGAGTTATTTTTATTTTACATTCCTTACACAGGTTAAAATGAGAAGTAAACAAAAAGAGAGAAAAGCCTACTAGGACGAGAGGGCGGATAATACCATGGCAGCTTCGAGTTGGTTCTGGGGCCTATTGGGATAGGAAGGGAAGCATGAAAAACACGGGGCCAATACAAAACTAAATCTGCAAGCAAGTATAGAACAACGTTTTTGAAATCAACATTCTGAAATATCGCATCGACGCACTGGAGATTTATTGGTTTGACATTATGGGTTTATTATTGCACAAGCACAATATATAAATCATGTTTAAACCACGGTATACCAAGTACCCGAGTGCGTGACTAAACAGTCATGCATGAACATTATGTGATATTCAAATGTAAAAAATTAACAAGTAACAAAAAAACAAAAAAACAAAAATTGCTGAATTGCTAAATTGAAGTCATGGACAGGCAATGTAAGATCTTCGCTCTTACCGTCTTTGAACAGGATGGAAGGCTGTTTTTAACAACTTTTTCTTTGCTTCCAAGGCACTAGATCTTTCTGAAATAATAAAACCAGTAACAACAAGAAGAAAAGAAAAAATTAATGTAAATGCCAATTTATTCTTATTCTTATTATTCTTATTCTTCTTCTTCTTATTATTTAAAAAAGCAGAGTCTTTAAAAAGATCTTACAGCCAGTTGTTGAGAAAAAAGTTTGCGAGCTAGAAATATCAAAATTCGCACACACTAACACACCAACTGAGAACCTTTTCCCACATATTCAATTGGACAGACTTCTGAGTATTTGAAAGAGAATAAAAAAGACAAACTATATATATATATATATATATATATATATATCAGATAAGTACTCTCCACTAGACATTTGCATTTCAAGCGTAATTCTTTTTACTTGAATGTTTCACAGTAGTGATCAAATGAAAATGGATTCAGAGAGGAATAAGAATGGTGCGTTTCCAGTCTGTCAGTACAGTCTTAATGGTGTCAACAAAAAGCATTAATTGCACATCTCTGCGCTTCTCAGTGTGGGTGACATGTACCTGTGACTGTGGACTCGGAGTTTTGACTCCTGTCCTCTGCTTGTCTGCTGTACAGGGCAAGGCCATTCGCCGAAGCCTGATTACTGAGTCCTAAGTAGTGGTTTGAGTTCAGCAAGGCGAGCTGGTGTGCTGTGAAACCCCGATTTGCCCAGCTCTGGATTTTCCCTACGGGACACGAAAGGAGTCTGTGAGGAGTGATGATGGTCTGAGCGGCGGACGCAACGGAAGTCCCGTTCATCAGAGGAGATTTTCGTGGATTGTCTGGAGTTGTGGCAGTCTCTGCCAAAGACCAGATCTTAGGTTTTGGAGCCGGAGGTGGGTTGTTTTCTGAGGGCGGAGAGTTGATGATGGCCTGGTTGAGTTTGACCGGCTCGCTGTTGGCCTGTTCTAAGTTGTTGTGGTGGTGATGATGATGACTGTGATGGTGAAAGTGCTCTGCGCGGTCGCCGTGAATCTCTTTGCCTTCTTTCACCATCGCTTTGAACAACCTTTGCTCCGGTCCTTGTAAATCCTCATAGCCGTCTGAAATTTCAGAGTCGCTCCTGCCGTCCAGTTTCAAATCAGAATGCAGCTCGTCCTGCTCGTCTAAATCGTCCTTATTCTCAATATTCTCCGTGTCAATATTTTCCAAATCGATTTCCTCCTCATCCTCGCGTTTGTCGCCGTCCTCTCCCTCGTGATCGCTGCTGTAAACATTTCCTTCTTCGTCCGTGCGACTCCGTGGGGCCCAGGTCATCTTGTTCTCCTTCTTTAGCCTCCTCCTGGCATTGGCGAACCAGGTGGACACTTGAGTGAGGGTCATTTTGGTGATAATGGCCAGCATAATCTTTTCTCCTTTGGTGGGGTACGGGTTTTTCCGGTGCTCACTTAACCAGGCCTTGAGTGTGCTAGTGCTCTCCCTGGTGGCATTTTTGGGTCTGGAAGGGTCTCCGAACTGGTACTGACCATATGGGTAAAAAGCAGGATGATGGTGGGCAAATCCAGGATGCTGGACGCCCGGACTTTCCTTCAGTTCGTACTGTGCCCCCTTAAAAACACAGAACACGGATCCAACATTATTGCGATTCACTATTATTATTCTTGGCCTGGCATATAGGCTACTACGTTTTGTTGTACTCAGCTGCAGTTCCCTGGTGTAGTGTTGCTGAATATATGAATTGCGTAAATTATTTTCAGTCTGTGTGAGCAATTACAAAAGCAAGGAAGGATTGAGATTTTTGTATTACTTTTTATTTATTTTTTAATAGGCCTAATTAACGGCATTAAATTATTTAGTAGGCTAGCTTGCACTTTATATACTTATATAAATTGTTCCAAATAAATTGACAAGATGCACTCATATATATATATATATATATATATATATATATATATATACAAAAATTTATATCATATATTCTTTAATAAAGTTAAAATAAAG